ATACACCCGAAGTCCCTAGCGGCGGTAAGAGTTTAGCTGAGAATTTGGCTCGATTCTTCTAACAAGATTTTGACGAAATGTAAGTGTCCTACATGTGGAAATACGGGGTGATTAGTCCTATTCACAAGGGAGGTGGTCAATTCAATCCAGTCAACTACCGTCCCATAATCTTACTACCGGTTCTTTCTGATGCGTTAACGGCCTGATTGGAAGAATCTAACCACCTCGCACCGGAACAGCATCGCTTCCGACGAACTCGATCTGCAGGACAAATCTACTACCAACACGATCCAGCTGGACTGAAGCAGTAGACTTTGGCACAGAAATTGATGTAATTTTTCTCGACTTTTAAAGGCGTTCGACCGGTTAAACCATGACATTCTCCTCGACAAACTCCAGACCTTTGGTATTAGTGATCCTCTCCTAGGATGGATCAGAAGCTTTCTTCTACCCCGGCGCCTGGAAGTACGAGTGCGTGAATCCCTGTTCGATCCCATTCAAATTGAATGCGGATTATCACAGGGATCGGTACTAGGACCGCGATTATTTTTGACGTATATCAACGATATCACACACCTCAGAAGCTCGAACTGCCTGCTTTTGTCGATGAGGTTAAGGTGTGGAGGGCAACCAATACATCAGATGATATTACAGCACTTCAAGCCGGTGTGGATAGGGTATACGCGTGGTCAATCAAGAACCTACTTCGTTTCAATGTAGGCAAACGTAGAGTGCTGCTGCTACAAACTCGGAAACCACGAGCTTCAAACGTCTTCTGGAGAGAAGGATCTGTGAGTTTTTGTCCAGGTCGACACTGGATGTTCGAATCAGACTTAGACGGCGTATAGGAGGGGCATCCAACACATGGGCCTCCTGAAACGGACGATGCAACCCTTCGATTTTTCCACAACTTCTCGGCTCACATATTCGTGCACATGTGTATTAAGTAATACAGGTCTGGCAGCCATGGTTCAGGGGAGATAATACCGTCTTGGAGATACTCCAACATCGCGCAACCAAGAATGTCAAGCGTTTGTATAATTGGCCATGTGGACGATGACTTAAGTGATTGGAGTCTTCAACGTACAGTATCGGCGATCGCGCGGTGACATTTTGACTTACCAGATTTGGAGAAATCCCAACCACACGCCACCATTTGCTAGAGCTCAGTCACAACAGTAATTTCAGAGACCACGATCTCAAGTTGACAGAGAAATACAATCGTTTGGAACGCCGTCGGAATTTCCTTTCTGTGCGCCTTTGCAGAGCGCGGAATGCCCTACCGGAATCTGTCATATGTGCTCCCACGCTGGCAGAGTTCAAAGCTCGAGTTGACCGTGCACTTTTGCGCTGCACTATCTTACATGACTTATTACCCATGGATAAACACAAGCGTCTGTAGGCGATTTCCCTGGCAGTCACAGCACAAATTTCGTTCCACGTTTTTCACCTCTTGTATGTGTACACCAGAAGGAGACACGATTTTTACCAATATCCGACTTGCCACCATTCTTCATGGATTTACCTTTAGGATAAGCTGTAAAGCATATACTACGTATATCTCAGTGAGTTCACCGGTCTAAACCCAACATTGCTAACGATTTTCGATATTTGGTGGTTTCACCATGATCATCCTACGGGACCTGTTAAGCCTTAGCTTTTTACCCGTAAGGAACCATTGCACCAACAGCACCAGTGCATTAACAGGGAGCACACAATATGTCTATGAATCCGTATGGTTAAAAAAAACTGGCAGCATAAACGAGTTATAAATAATAAACTAAGTGCCCAGTTAGTTTTTTTTTAAATGCAATGAAACAAGAGGTAGGGCGCAAGTAAGTGAGCAGGGCGCTAAAGAACCGATAACCAAGGGTTATAATCAATATGCAAGGTACAGCACTCCTAGTTAGCGCTCGAGCGTCATATCGGATAGTGTTTCTGACTGTTGCCGTACCTGGTTCAGTCCAGGAAGCAATCAGGTAGCAACGCAGCTGTCTTCCGAACAAATGTATAACAGCTTTTGGCAGACCACTGATTGGTCAGTCTGAAGTTTCGTCCAACTATACGTAGTTCTGGTAGGTCATGCACACTGAGACACGTGATTGATGAGTACAAAGAGGTGACCAAAAAAAGCAGAAAATGAACGCCGGGAAAGATTTATGTGGATAACGCTTTATCCGATTCCTCATATTCGCCCCAACTTGGGAGATTTTCGCATGATGCTGTTTACGGGAATACGATCCGTGCACTTCGTGTATACGGGTTCGCGGTACCAGTTATCATAGATGATCAAGGACAAATTAAGCAATCCAGGAGGAAGTAACAAAGACCAATGTTGCGCAAGCCTGCCACTCACTGCAAATATGATTGGCGGTATCCAGATTCGCTTGTCAGTGTGGCCTCCATAAGACAGTCACAGGACGTCTGCGCCTACACAGGGACCATGGATGGCTTGCGTTGCACCACACACCTCATATGCAGTGTAAACCCGAGGGAATAGGAACGGGAGACATGGGGATGGAAGCCAGATTTCATCAACGGATCCAGCCCATACTCCTTCGACAAGAATGGTGGAAGCTTTTATGTGTACATGGAAAATTATGCGAACCAGACGTACACAAGGCGGTCGCTGGGCCGTAGCCTGTCCCACACTAGATACATGGAACTACTCCGATCCTAGCACGGCCACGTAGACCGCACATTCTGTCCCTCCCAGCAACGACCCAGTCGCCTGGAGCCAGTGTCAGACAGGCACTTTCTCATCACTCAAAGCAAGCGTGGTCACACCGGGATAGCAATCAACAGCTAGCACCTGAAATACGAGAAACCCAACACACAGGCACACGTACAGACCAACTGCAAGGATGATGCGGCACACATACAAATCAATAGTCTGACTGGCCTGGATTAGTAAATCGAATGGATGCAGACGCAGCGCACCTAATAATTGCTGCACCGATTATGCTTAGATAATCATCTGACTCGCCGTTTTTCGGATGCTGGACCCAGGTGATAATGCTGGCGGTTTACCAGGTCCACTTGACTCAGACATTGGCGACCGCATGTGCTACAGTACCATGCGCTTGACGTCGATGGGTTAGAATCCATCAACGCATGTCGCTTACTCAACCGACGTCTCCTCTGCATACAATAGTGATGTCTTCTGCACCTGAGCAACCGCCAGTTTGAGGAGCTAAGGTCATTGGCGCCGATTACTGCCTCTGATCCCCAACCCACGACATCAGCATTACGTCTTGATAGACTCACTCTGATTATTTCCTGGAAAAGTAACTTCGGTTTCCCAACGTGCTGATTCCCTGCACTAAGTTGTCCATGTGAGAGCTGCTCGAGCATCCGCCTCGAATCCATGAGGCTGATATGCCTCAGCCACCTCAGGTGCTGCAGCAGAACTACGCAGTCCACTGCATACATGCACTGCGGCGTAGCACCGTGTTTGTCGCACTAGCCAATGCGTAGAATCCGTCGTAGACACTTGATGAAACCGCTACATATTTCTGACAAGCTTGCGGTACAGCGTCCAGGTTTCGCCGCCGTATAAAGAGGAAAACACCATAGGCTTGTGTACCATCAGCCTCGTTCCACACACGCTTCTGCGAATTTTCAGATACAGCAGCCGTTTGCGATCCGCGGTCACGTACCTTGCTCATCATCTACAGATCGGCCGAAAGTACACTACCCAGGTAGTAAAAGCACAAAGTGATTTCCAGGACGCCAGCATCGATATGGATTAGCATCAAACATACGGATCTCACTTCTAGCGTAGGCTGAAAAAGACAGTTTTACTTGTGTTGATGGTGAGCCCGAATTTGGCCGCTGTCGAAGCCAGAGCACTAGTCAAATGCTGCAACGCATCCGCACTGTGTGTAAACAACGCACAGACTTCAGCAAACAGCAACATACGGATAGTTGTCTCACAGACTAGGGTTCCCGCGAGGAACACCGTAAGCAGCAGCTGCATCAAACACACGACATCATAGTATGAAAATAAATAGTAAACGGCAGTGGCGAAGACACAGCCTTGCTTCACACCAGAGATAAGTGCAAAATCATCCGAGGTCTGTCCACTCAGCTGTGAACACGCCGGCATACCACTGTGCAGACATTGAATTAAACGTACAAACTTACACGGACAACCACTTACCCAACACTAACCACAATGCTTCGCGGTTCAGCGTATCAAATGCTTTGGTGAAGTCAACAAACAGCGAGTACAACGCTGGTGTCGCTCATTGCATTTCTTCTGCAACTGACGAGTCGCAAACAGTATATTTATGGTGATGCGACCCGAACGGAATCCACATAGCTCTTCCGCCATGTTTGGTTCCACAACTTGACTGACGAGGCGGTTGAGCAGGATTCGGGAAATAACCTTGCCCACACAACGCAGCAACTTGATGTCACGATAATTCGTGCAACAATGCTTGCTCACTTTGCCGTTGTAGAGTAGCAGGATAAGGATATCAGCTCGGCCGGCACTTTTTCTTCAATCAACACACGTTGCATCAAGTGGTGTAGCGCATTTACGAAAACGGGTCAGCTATGTTTTAATATGTAAAGCGGGATCTCATCGGAACCTGCGCACATGTGGTGTTGCGGCTGAGAATTTCATCACACCTAGACTCAGTCAGACAGTGAACACAAGTCCGGAAAAGCACTGTACGACCGTTCCATCCTTCCGGGAATGGCGAGCAGTGCGCATTCCATGTGACCCCTGCGGAGCTCGACCCCGGAAGTATACTTTTGACAGTCAAGTGGTTAGCACCACTGAGCTACAGGAGAAAGTAACGACCACTCGTCGTCCACTTATACCATTCAACTCCTCCCACTACTTCCTTGTAATACATCGATGACAGATGCGGCACTGGATGGCTCCTCAGTTTGACATGCCTGAATTAGCCGACTTCAACACTACTTAGCCGGTGTCCTCATTGGACTTAACAGTTACAGTGTTCAAACACCAGTGATCAAAAACAACAAGCGCCGCTGCCATGCCTGTGATTCACACAGAGGAGCACTGACGTTGTTGTGCTACTACAACATGCAATGGATAGACAAGCCAATTAGGTTGCAAGAAACCTATACACGGGGCAGAGACTGCAGAAAAAATGTAGACAGTGTGATTTTCGAAAGAGAAACGTTAACATCCACGGTAGTTAGGAAACCGAGCTAACTACGCACGTAACCGGCTGATGATGTTGATGCGGCCGAAAGAAGCGGTGAGATTCACAACACTGACCCAAATAAAGGGAATAGTTCTCTTTCATGATCGATAATAGTAACACTGTTACAATTGCACATCTTTGCACAAAGAATTCGGACAGCTGTCAAAAAACGTGTGTACAAAACCAGAGGAGGGAAAGTCTGCTATCAGTGATTACGGAGGGAGAGGCGCGAACTCATCACGCGAATAGGGTGGGGGTGGTGGTGGAGACGTGGGAGACGATGGGAAACGAGGTGGGGTGTATAACAAAAGAGAGACTGCTGCGAATCACCGCCAACCCAAGTGGTGAGGATAAAGAGGGATAAGTAGGGTAATGAAAGGGACGATGTCAGACAGCCGATCCTCGAGCCTAACGGGTAAGAGTGTAAGGAGGCGTCTGACAGAATAACGAGGTACAGCCAGCACTGAAAGACGCGTGATGCTAAGAGGATACAAAAGTGTTCCAATCACAAAGGAGGTCGCGCAAGGTGAGACAGAGAGAAAGGTGGTAAAAATGAGGTGGGCATGAGAAAATCGATAAGAAGAGCCAAGATCGGCGTCATCGAGCTGCTCAGACGTTAAAAACCGTAGCTACGCTTGGGTGTGTGCGCTCATCGATCCACGCTGCCGGCACACCGAGTCGAGGAAACTGAAACGAGAAAAGACAGAGTCGCACATCATTCACGGCTACACCAGTGATACAAATAGATAAAAATGACTCAGTGGCGAAAAGCGATGGGACCAAAATGCAACTGATGGGCTAATCAGGAGTCACATAGAGCCTTTGAATTGACCGCTGCCGCTCCTCCCCCCCACCCCCGAAAGATAATTTTTTGCACTCTCTACTGCGAACGTATCGGTTTTGTGTGAATATTTTAATGAATTCATTGGCTGAACAATCTCAAGGTGACTGAGGCCTCACAACTCCTCGGATTCTTTGAAAAATGACCCGAGACATTGCGCATAACTCGCAGTTTGCAACTTTCATCCAAATGAAACGAGTTGTCAAGAAAGGCTTTGACAAAAGTTAAGCTTGTCAACTGGATAAAGAATCTTATAATGCGATTGTTGCGGGACTGTTTACTCAAGTAACATCAATGTGCACTCTTTTCCTGTTCCGTTTATACACTTGTAAAATTCTCATATTACGTGAGGCTGTTCTAGCTCACATTTGTGGCAGAAGCTGAAAATGCGGAAATTGCACTCATCTGAGTGCATAAAACGACCTGAAATCGTAGTGGTATTTATAGTAACCACCGTGATGTTTCAGCGACATTAGAAGTGAGACGCACTCGGTTCAGTTTGCCAACTTTGATCCGTGCGGCTGATCAAGCTAAATCGATACAAATCGACAAAATAATGATCATAAGTATGATGTTTTAAAAGGAATGAACACGTACAAAAAATCGTCAAACGGAATTGCAGAGTTCGATATTAGGGAACGAATGCTAGACGGCAACCAACCTACCCCATGATCGTGCTATATCCGAGAAAGTGTCCAACTATTAAGGTGGCTTATCCCGAGAGCAATATCCACGAAGATGATGAGAAACAACCCGATTCAGTCGCTTGGTGAATTTCATCATAGTCCTTTGCCAAGTGAACGGTTGATAAACCAGGGATTTTTTTACTTAAGTAGACAGCACTGACAAACCATACAAGTTGATTCAGCCGACTCACTGGTATGTGGAGCCAATGGCGGAGCGCCAACGGACATGATCTAAGTTCAAAAGGTGCTTCAGTGAGGCCCCTGATGTCTTATTTCCAAACACTGGATGACAAACTTCAGTAAAACGGTTTTTCCCACCAGATATGAGCAATACATTTTATGCGTTGGGAATTCAAAGGTGGCTAATTTTCTAATATCCTCAGTATGCAATAGCAAAGCCTCAAACCCACACTGACACTGCCAAGCAAAAATCTCGCCATCTCCGTAGTTGACTGTGGCTTTGAAAGGCTACATGAGCATTTGCAATGGGTGATGCCACCACCAGAGATGATATACCGATCGAAATAACTCAAGGACCAGGTACCGAAGTCGAGGTTTTCCTTCTGTGTGTACAACTTTTGTCGTCCGTGTCGAGCAAGGTATATGGGCAAACGACCAGGCGACCGTCCGAAAGAGTTCGAGAGTGTTGCCTAGCGTAGCCCTATAGTGGCGTGAAGAAGTCTGTGGCGAGCGCTCTGGATCGAAACCAATCACCAAATCAACGCACAAAAGACTTCCCATCGCATTTACAGAGTATCTGGAGGTCATAATCGAGCAGGCAGATGCCGTCTACTAACGAGGGCAGAGGCGACCGTGAAGTGGGTCCATAATTTGGACGTGTGCGCAAAAAAAGAAATTCGTCCAAGCCCTCCAGCTGCCGTGGCCATAAGATGATTGTACCATCTCCCTCAACCTTACCCTAAGCGACGTGATCACATGACCACATTGATTAGGCAGTTCGTTACATTGATTTACAGCGGTTAAGTATCCGGGGTTCATTTTATGCTTATCTATGAGTTATGGCGTTCAAGCCTGATTAGAATCATCGAAAACGAGCTAGTTCGGCTAGGTTGCTTATGATGTTATCCAGACAAGCAAACAGTTATCCGATGGCAATGAGAAATGATGATGACTGGACCCAGTTCTGCAAGTACCCAGCCCATAGTGTGTCAACGTTGAAAGGGCATAATGTGAAATGGCACCCAAGGTTTGAAAGACAAGACGACTTCTGTCATTGTGGCACATAGAGTCGGCTGCTCCTTCCGACAAGTTTCGTTCCAAGTAACCTACCTCTGGTCTTACATTGAATAGACAGATCCACAAAATAATGGGTTTGATGAAGGTCTGCACTCGAAGCCTCTGATCCTATAGTTTGTGCCGTAAAGCGGTGGGGATCACTCTTAGCTAGGGAGTAAGATCGCGGGATCTGTAGGATATGTTAGACACTCGAAACCTTGCAAGAGTTAGAAGAATTGATGCAATTTTCCGACCGAAGTACATTACGTAACTGCGATGGTTTTGGTGAGTTTGAAAACCCCGTTGATGAAAAACTGCTTGATCTGACGTGGGTGACAGCAAGCCATTGAGCAAAGCCGTACTCTCCCATCGTCAAAAACAACCTGTGGTATTTGTGCTCTACACCAACAGAGCTGAATTGGTCTCACAACTGATGCATCCTATAACAAGATTTTAAAAGCAAAGGACAACTGACCTCTCCACAACCTACGAAAAAGTGAATGCTAAAGTTTAGTGACTCTGAAGATACCTGAAGAGTGCCGCTGAGTGTAATTCAGTGGATCTCGGAGATACGCAAACCATCGACTCAAGTTAAAGTTTAATTTAGTCGCACTCAGTGAAAGGCTAGCAAAAAAACAAAAGATGGAGGAATAGCATTGAGTTGGTGTCGACCTCAGCAGCAGGTCAGTGTACTGCAACACAAATATGAGGGACGAAGTTGAGATAAAGCAGCGCAAATAGAGAGCAAACAGTCAATGTAACAGTACCAACGCACAAACACCCACAATCGATTGTGGGTAGAAGCGAGGACAGCAACTACGGAACCGCAATGTGATAGTATGAAGGTTGACAAAAATAACAAATTCGGACATACGAAACGCGGAAATGCGTCTTAATTAGCACATAACAGTGGTGGATCACAGATGGGAACGAAATAAACGGCATCTCAGAGGAACGACGTACCGCCAACCTGAGTTCGGATGTGGCTTGGATCCGAGCGGAAATCCAATGAGGAAAGGCCTAAGGTAGAGGAATGTTGTAAGTCGGAATGATGTGGTCGCCGAATCGAGCCTGAGCCGCGTCGCATTTGATGGTGGCGATGGTGAGGATAATGACTCGTTTGATAAACCCCGGTATCCGGTGGTTTGGAGCGGGACAGGACGGCGGAATCAGTTGTGTGGTCTGTCTCCGGTGTGCCAATGTGGTGTCTGTTCGATGTTGAAACACTCGAACTAATAGAGTACAACGTCGTCGTGCTCACATTAGTCACGGCTGTGGCGATAGTGGGTCTGTGGGTGGCTACTGCTGTAAGTGTGGGGGGTGGTGTTGAAAAGGAGTTCACACCGGGAATACAAACAGTATGTGGGGCTGGGATAAAATGGCTGGTACAAATTGTCGGAGGTGGAGTGGGAAGTAAGTAAGTTGCCTGGGTAATCGGGGCATACGTTGACAATGGAAGAGATGGTGAAAGCCCCCGCCCGGGCAAATGATCGCTAGGTCTCAGGTCAATTGAGTTGGTTACAATACTTAAACCAGACATCACAGAATTCGAATTTGATACCACAGCTGAAGGTGAATGGGGCGCGGAGACTACATGGGGTAAGATACTAACAGGGAAGTAAAAACCGTTTTGAACTCCGTGCCGCATGGTTGGAGAATGTGTTAACACAGGTGATGCAATGGAGGGGGATGCCTTGAATTCAAACGCGGTCGCTCGTCGGGAGACTAAAGACCCAGCTAGAGGAGACAAAAGAGTGTGGCCAGGAGTGAACAATTTCGACTGGCTCACAGAACTCAACTGTCGACTGGGGGAGTCCCCGGTGAATGAGGAATCCTGAAGCTCGGCAGGAACTGTCCCATCGTCGGATATGTCCGAATAAGCTGGGCTTGGCGCTGGAGGCTCGTCGTTTGGGCTGGGTGAACGCGTCTGTTTTGATGGACTGGAAGCGGTCCGGCGTTCAGAAAACTCGTTGACAGAATCAGTGATGCTAACGATACGATGCAGCCTTGGTGGAGCCAAGTTATCGTCGAATCGATCGTCCAATGAGGCCATGCAGAGGCCGTGCTCATCAGTTGGCTCTTTAATCACGCCGTGAGCCCGGCCAAGAGTTGGAGGAGGTGAAGACTGTATAGGAGGAGGATGTCGTATTAAGGTACAATTCGGTTCCACTGTGCAGACCACAGTTTCTGAATTTTGCTCTGACTCCGTGACAACGGTGACTAGATTTCGCTCTGGTTGGGACGGGTTGGGAGGGGGACTGTCATCAAGTGCTTGATCGCGAGTGATGTGGCCCATGGAGAAATGGTACCGCATACTCAACAAATCGGGAAACTCCATTTTGCAACCTGGATATGGACAGGAAAAGGGAATGGGGGTGGTGGAGGAGTCTGGTGCACATGTGTCCGTTCTAGTTGCCTGCTCCAAGTGCGGAGATTGATCGTTTACATTTCGTTCTGGGGAAACTGACACAAGTGCAGTGGATTCTGCGTTCAACTTGGTCGCCACTCGACGACACGGTCGACCAACTCCAGCCCCACGGCGACGTTTACGCTTGGTGCCACGTTGGGGACCATTCGAACTGTATGACTCCGGGCCAGGGAGCACTTCAAGGTCATACACTGATAAGTTGGGTTGACAGTCATCATCGTGATTCTCAACGAGTTCCAACTCAGGTTCAACAGATCGGATCGATTCTGCGGGCTCAATGGAGGCGGCAGCGGCAGCCGCAGCAGAACGTGTGGTCATCGATGCTCCCGGGGGAAGGTGTCGATGACGAGCGGTATGATGATGGTGGTGATGATGATGGAAATGGTGCAAGCCGCGCGTGCGAAAACGACCCGGGGAACCGTGAGGCCAGGCGCGACGACCGTTTAGCAAACTCAACGCACTGATTATCCCCTTGTCCGGGCTGAAGAAACAAGGGAATGGAGAGATAAACAAAAAGAGGATGTTTGGGAAATGTCTGGAAAGATAAGCGATGCACGCGTAGGGGGACTATGAGTAACGTGTCAACGACAAACACAAGCTAGCTATGTGTGCCCAAGAAGGTCAAGGTTAGTAACCTGGATACAAAATGAGTCCCCATCGGTGTGAAATGCATCGCTGACGCAAACGTGGAAATTGGGTTATGTAATCATGGACCGAATTGGCGGCGGTATAGAGGTGAAGGTTACAATGTGCTACAAAGAAACCAGACGGATACATTTATGGAGAGAAAGCAAGCGGCGGACGCAGGCACACAAACATATGATGACGATCCGAGACTTACCAAGATTGCCCAAAGCTCTGCTTGGAGGCGTCCAACAGAGTGCCCATGTATGCACGCCCACGCCACTGTATGTTCAAGACAAGCATACCTGTTCGAATGGGATCAATATGTGAAAGCATCGCTTAGCGGTCAGTATGCGTGTGTGGACGGTGTGTAATCAATAAACAAGCAGCTGATGAAAGCTCGACAAAAAAATCACGGGAAAAGCGTTTGAAGCTCACACTGGACAAATAGGTGATGTAGTTAAAAGAGGAAGCGCGACGTTTTACATATAACGGTTATGTCGTTAGTAAATGATGGAACCAACAGGTTCGAGTAGCCGGCTGGACACTGATGTACTCTGCGAAACGTAGCTAAGAGAGATAGAAGATGACGCCTACCGGGCTAGCAGTGGGTTAAAGCTAATAAAGTCAGTATGACATTCGACGTGGTCGAGCAGTCTTGGGGATGAGCGTTAGGACTGACGCGGGAACATCAGTCACTCTAGCGAAAGAAGGCATACGAAGCCGCGGTGTGAACAGCACTACTCAACAAACTAAATTCCACTATGTACCAGGGGTCCACAGGCAGTCCGTATTCAGAAAAATCCGTGCATAATAAGATGAATATGAGCGTATTGGAAAACATACCAGCGTATTGGTAGTTTTAAAACCAAGCCCTCTTACTGACTCAATCGCTCGGTCGATGTGAGCATTTGCTTCGTGTTGCATCTCGCCTATCCCTAGTGAGCACCTACTACCTCGTGCCGCAATGCTCACTGATCGTCCGTACTAAAAAAAACATGGTTCACAAGCTATTTGATAAACTATTTCGTCTCACTAGTCTGTCTTGCTATCGCGATGTATGAAATGGTAAAACGTTAGTGCGTCGGCTGTGTTGAAATCAAGCCCCATAAAGCTTTCCGTTTTGGGCTTATATTTCACGGTATTCGCTAAATAGTTCGCTTTACGCATTTCTTCAGAGTGTACTACAAGAATCCCTACAAGTTTAACACATTTGTTTGTATGTTGCCTACGGTTTGCCGTGGTTAATGAATCTCGCACGCTTCCAGAAAGCATAGCAATGGCGCGGTCTTTAAAAAGTGCCGCTGCTTGTTTCGCCTAACATCCATTTTACACTATCTACCGTGCATACATCAATTCTACGGGAATATCTTAACTTCTTCGGTCAAACTACTTCCTAATATATCGATATTTTAAATACAAAGATCGAGACACAGCGCACGATTTGTGATTTGCCGTATTAGGATGAGATTTTAAGCCTTCTGAAGCCATTAATGGAGAAATATTTCGGTAAAACTCCGCCCCGTCGACTAGATACAAAACCGGAGGATTCGCAACTAGTTAAAATCTCCAGGATTGTGCGCAATCGTTGCTCGGGAAGGCAGGGTGTTCACTGGATTGACAACTGTACCCATTTGCCAACCCATTTGTAAAATTTTGCGTTTGCAATGACATCATTTTAGTCTATCCGTAGTTGATATCGTACAATGCTGAAAATGAATCTATCCGGGTACATGAAAGTTATTTTGACTTCTAACAAGGCTTTCTTCCCAGTAGTTCACAAGCTACATAGTAGAACCTAGTCCGGAAAAGCACCAGACGCAGGACAAAATAGGCAGGCGAAATGTGGTGTCTCATAATCCCCAACCTTAATGTTACGCATATTTGACATCATATGAGGTGAAACATACTACCTGTTCTAAAGTATAAGGATACATTTCGAAGAGTTGAAATCTATGCTCCAGGAGACCGCCATGTATATGAGACCGTAGAAACATGTTCCCCATTCGAGTGACATAAATTTCATACAGAACCAGATACATTCACTTCTATGATTGAGCATCCAAAACAGATGCAGAACTTGACGTGTATTTCTCGATATTCATATGTCCCGCAAGTAAATAATTATTTTGCATTTTATGCACACTGAATCCCTCTCTGCTTGCGCCGGAACACTGTGTGAGTTCGAACTTAATACCGACCAACTTGAAAAGTTAGGTAATTCCTGGGTGATAGAATACAGCCAACAGAAATATTTCATCGTTGAAATATGTGGGCTACGACGAACATTGGTATCATTTTTGACTTCCAACACACAATACACTGGTACCGTGTAAAAAAAATCGTCCCAAGTCTTACACAACTATGATCCAGGCACCGAAGTGTGGTGGGTTCAGTGGCCACGGCTCACATTGACAGGATTACAACAAAATAACGGTAAGAACATGAGCTTGAGTGTAAATAGAATGTAAGGAAAGTGCAACCAAGGTACATTAAACTAAGCAGGATAAAATAAATAGAAACAACCAAATACAAGAAATCAAATGCACGTACGCCACTAACTGCGCGACTGCACCTAGTCTAATAAGGACTCAAGTCATTGGTGCAGACCATCCCAATTCTACCAGTCAAGTTTTGCATGTCTTCGTGTCATGTCACAGATTGACAACCTCGGTGTCACCCAACTTGGTACAGTCACCGTGTATAATGCATGCCAAGGAAGTCAGTCAAGGGGCATATGGAAGACATGCCCTAGCCAACGTAAGCGATTAAGATCCACCAAAACACTCGAGAAAGGCACAAGAAGGCTTCTTGACAAAAATCAACTAGCGGACCTCAGCATTGTTAACCCGGCGATCCCACCAGACGTGCGTGATGCTAAGCAAGTATCGGTGGTCAAACACGGTCAAGCGTTTAATATCTTCGCCTCGAACTACCCAGGTCTCTGATCCATACAGTAACACCAGCCTTGTTGCAGCGTTATATACCCTACCTTACACTGATATCCGCTGTCTCCATAGATGGTTGATTCCCTAGAAAGCAACACGGGCCTCGATGAAGCGCGAAGTAACCTCCCTCAGTGATGTGACCATCAGAGGTGACATAACTACCAAGGTGAGTGAACCGATCCACCACCTCCAGTGGCTTCAGTGATAGCTAGAACCGGAAGCGTATCGATTTAGTCCTGCAACAGCACTTAGAAGGTGCAAAGCACATGCCGAAGCGTGCAGCACTACGCGTCAGTCTACCCAGTAGGGTTTGCGAAACCACTGGGCCAGACACAAAAAGAACCATGTGGTCCGCATACTCCAGGTTTGTTAGTCGGTCAGCTGGAAAAATTTCCACTTCCGAAGAGCCAGAAAGAAAAGAGTAATTCATGATAAGTTCAAGTTGAAGGGAAGATACATTACAGTCTTGGCAAACCCCACTTGTCGGGAGTCATGGTAGAGATTGCATAATTGAAAGGAATTCAGTCGATAGGCCCTTCATGGATAGGAAGTGTCACAAGCGCGGTCAACGGAGCCGAAGGCAGCTTTCAATTCAAGAAAAAACACCACAGTCAGTCGTCTGTGTGTACCTCTGCTCTAAAGCTCGACCAAGAGTATACATGTGGTCCATGCAACCACGAAAAGCGCGGAAGCCAACCAGGCTTCCAGTGATTCGGTCCTCACGAGGACCGATATGTCAACGAAGAACGAGACCCATAAGAAGTTTGGATGCAACAGAAATAAGGCGAATGCCTCGATGATTTGCGCACAAAGTACGCAGACCCTCCTTGAAGATGGTCACGACAGTTGATAGCAGTCAGTCTGAAGACACCTCTACAGAGTACTAAGTAATGTTAAATAGAGAAGCAAATTCATTCGTTATTATACACCTTAGTCAGAGATGGAAAACACCTAAGCTACTGTGTCGCAATACACAAGAAAAAAAGCTACAACAGGTGCACACCAGCTGAGATACCGGAACCGGATGGGCATCGGTCTGGAAAGCTACCAGCCGGCTAGTATAGTGCAAAATAATTAGTGAGCAAAATTTGTATTGTGCTGAAATGAGACCGCGACTGGAGGGAAAAGCTAAGATGGATGAGGAGAGACAAAGAAACCCATAACACGAACGCCACTGAGTTCAGTTCCTAGCCATGTCAGCAGGTGCATCCGGCCAAACATGTTCGGCGTCTTTCGGACCCCAACCAAGGAGCCGAGAGGCTCCAACCGAGGCCAACGTCGAAGTAAGGGCCTTCATTCCTTTTGACCAAGTCATCACCTGGCCACCTCTCCTCTTCTTCTATCTACACCTCCGGCGTGCAAACAATGCACATCGCGGGATTCGGTAGGGTGGCATGAGCAACATGTGGCCGAGCCGTCGGAGCTTGGTGTGTGAAATAACGGTGCTGAGCGGTTCATTTCCTTTTCCTGTGCCAGAAACAAGGCGTCGAACACGCTCGCTGCAAACGCGGTGTTCCCACAAGATGTGAGCCAAACTGCGAAGGCACCGGTGGTCGGATGTAAGTAGCCTCCTTATGTCTGCTGATCTAATAGGCCAGGTATCACAGCCGTAAAGGAAAGTTGAACGTACGGATGCACTGTATATTCTACCCTATAGGAAGTAATGTCGCGCCGGCGTCATAAGTGGCGAAGGCTAGCGAAAACGCCTCGAGCTTTGCTATACGGTTCATGATCCCGATCTCGATCCCAAGGGAAATGATCCAACTTCCCAAGTAGTTGAATTTTCGAACAACTTCTAGTTGATTCCTATCAAGAGTCAGCGCAGGAGGCGGTCCCTGCCGAGCTTGAAGGAAAGCCATTGCAGAGCATAAGCCGTAATGCTGACAGCCAGTGCTAATCCCTCAAGTGGCGCTTGACACGTTTGGGAGCTGTCATAAATCAGAACAATATCGTCAGTATATTCCAAGTCAAGAAGTCGGTCTCCTGAGAGCAGCTCCACGCCTTCTAAGTCGTGCCTTGTGGACGCGAACTCCATGACTTTGTCACCAGCGGAGTTGAAAAGGAAAAGTGACAGCGGGCATCCTGGTCTCACACCGATGAGGAGATCAAAGGGCGGCCACAGCTCGCCGTAGGCCCTCACTCTGCCCGAGCTAGGCGCGTATAAGGCTCGGATAATAGTTACATAATGCTCAGACCCACCATTCCTCTGCAAACAGTTCTAAAAGGCCCATCGATCAACAGAATCGAGAGCACCTTTGATATCGAGGAACACGATAACGGTGGGTCACCAGTATATGTGACGGTTCTCAACCAATTGACGCAGTGAAGATGTGGTCGATTCAGCCTCGACTTCGACGAAACCCAGTTGGCTCTTCACGAATATGGCTTTCATGAGTGCCAGTCAGTCTGGGAAAGATGACAAGTAATTTAGGGTCGATCGAGATCAGGGTGATTCCTCTATGATTGCCACATTCCGAACGTGAGCGTCCCTTAAAAACAAGAGCTGTGATGCAGCGGCTGCAGTCGGTTAGGACAGTTTCCAGCTCCCATGGTTTCAGTGGTAACTCGTGTAAATCAACCACAAGAGCAGATCCCTCGAATTTGAAAAGGGCTGGAGGGAGATCATCTGGTCCTGCGGATTTATTCAACTTCAGCAATTCGATCTCACGTTGGGCTTCGGAGCGAGAGGGCGGATCCAAAGGAACAGCCCACTGAGCAGGGCGATAAGTGGCAGGGGGGAAATCTGACAATTCTGACCGATTTAATTGCCTTTCGAAGTGCTCAGCGTAACACCCCAAGCGTTTTGACAAGTTGTGGATAGGCTGTCCACTCTCGTCACGTATATTTTCACTAACACCAGGTCTCTTGCTGCCCGTTCCCCATATCAGACGAAATAATCTCTGATGGTTACCAAGTGCAGCAAACACTTCCATCTCTGACGCACGACGAAACCACCAGGCTTCACGGTCTCTTCAGGTTAACAGGGTTTTGTCCGGAGCTCTTTGCGAGTTTCATTGTGTTCGCTTCCAGCTGGAATATATCGGCGAGCCTCGATAAGTTCCAGAGACAGCGAAGTGACGCAATGTACACGTTGACGGTTAGACTTACCACATGAGGATTTGCCTGCTGCTAGTAAGGTCTGGTGAACATGCGACCAGTGACCAACATTCGTGATCACTGAGCTCTTATTCAACACGCAAGTTCAATCAACGAAGTCAGCATCCTTCTATAAAGGTGAAGGTCGTCGGATCTAAGAGGCTGGTTTCTTTCCAACACTGAAGGCTCATGTCGAATCTCATCCAAAATGAGGGGCGTGACATCAACTTCCCACGTCAGACCAAGTGATTCGGCAAGCGGAGGTGTCACAGCAGGCCTGTCTGACTGCTCCTCAAAATGCTCCGCCAAACGGGATAGTCGACGACGCTGAGAATGGATCAATTGTCCATCATTCTCAGCTATTGTTTCGCTAAAAGGTGAATTTCTCGGACCCATGTTCCGGATGAGCTGGAATACCATTATTTTTCTCCATCTGACGAGCCTTTGAAATTCATCAAGTTACTCGGTCGATTCCAGTTCGGAAGTGTGATTGCAGAGACCCATTGGGACCTGCTTGGGGCCTGTCACACAGCCTGTGACGATTTAAAACAATGCATGTAGTTCACCTCCGTAGTATGCTACGCACTTTAAGTTGGTTTAGACCAACTGCGGTGAAGAATCATCTTCATCAGCCTCAGCATGGAACACATCTCATACATACATGGTGGGCGGCATCCGGTTTCGGATTTGCCTGTCACTGTGGCCAGCCCCAAAACACCTGCGCCTACAGAGGGACCATGGGTGGGCTTGCGCTGCACCACCCACAGTTTCAACCACACACCCATATCCAGTGTAAACCCGAAGGAATAAAACCGGGAGGCCTGTGGATGGGAGCCACACTCATTCACAGGCAAACACAAGCACACTGTATTTGGGAATCAATCGCATACAAGGCAGTGGCTGGACCGTAGTCCACTCCACACTGAGCGCATGGAACCCCTCTTCCAGCCTAGCATGACCAATTGTCGCCTAGAGCCAGTATGGACGAGGTAGTGGGTAGTAGTTAGGTAACCACCTTGTCAACATGCAGATCAAGCGCAGCCACACAGGGATGTCAAACAACATCCAATCACTTGAAATAACATTATCAAATAACATATACTTGTTAAAAAATATGGCTATGCAGACAACTCTTCCCTAGATAAGCATATAAAGTAAGGTGGTTAGCAATGAAGACGCGATCAGTACAAAATGTTTAGAAGGTACTCAAAAATGCTACAAACGCAATAAAGCTAACGAAGATAACCACAGTTAGCGTAAGCAAGGTGGCCAGTTGATAGAAGATTATTATTATTATTAGGAGAAGGTAGGCAGAACAACTAAAGTGGATGAAATTTATCCAGCTCAAAAAGGCCTAGTTTAAGTGACCCATGCTAAGGCTGATGTTGCATACATGATGCTTCTTCACCGCAGTTAAGCTAAACCAAGGACTCAAACTAGGTCTTTTGAAGCTGGATAAATTTCAGTTCAACTTATTAAGTTTGTTCTGCCTACTGGCCACGTTGTTTACGCAAATTGCTCTTATCCTCTTTAACTTTATTTCGTTTGTAGCATTTTTTGAGCAACTTCTGGATATTTTTTACTTATCGCGATTTCATTGCTAATGAACTTCGTATGCAAATTTAGGGAAGAGTTATGTCTGCATAGACGTACTCTTAAACTGATATATTTTAATTGATAATGTCATTGCAAGTGATTGGCTGTTCTTTGACATACCCGGTGCGGCCGTGCTTGATGTGCATGTTGACAAGGTGCCTACCTGTCTATTACCCACTACCTCGTCCATACTGGCCCTAGGCGACAGTTGATCGTTGCTGGAGTGGACGGGGTGCACGGTCCTTGTGGACGTGTTAGGCTCGAACAGCGGTTCCATGCACTCAGTGTGGAGCGGACTACGGTTCAGCCACCGCCTTGTGTGCTCTTGATTCCCAAATACAGCGTGCTTGTGCTTGCCTGTGAAGGAGTGTGGGCCGGCTCCGTTGATGAAACGTGGTTCCCATCCACATGCCTCCCGGTCTTATTGCTTCTAGTTTACATTGGATATGAGGTGTGTGGTTGGAGCTGTGTGTGGTGTAGGGCAAGCCACCCTCTGTAGGCGCAGGTGTCCTGTGGCAGTGCTATTGAGACCACAGTGACATGCAAATTCGGACACGGATACCGCTAAGCATAGTACGCGCCTACGATCACGGCCAGCTGCAGGCGGAAGTTGCTGGGTTTGCACGAATTTGACCAAGGGATGTGTGGGGCTTGAGGCGGGTGGTGCCCTCTCATCATCAGACAAGACGTGGAACTCGTATTCTAAACCAATCGATCTATGAGTCTAGAACCTGTAAATCTGTTATCCCCCGCGGTTAGGATTTAAGGGAATGGAGCCATCGACCTTTTCCTAACCTCAGAAAGAAGATTAGATTGTGAGACTGAATTAGTCTGGTATGAGTGGATCTGAAACCACTTGGAAAGTGCGACCCAGCGTAGCCCAATGGATACAGGAGGTACGCAAACTATCGCACCACGTTAAGGTCCAGTCTCGTCACACAGGATCATGCTATGCACACACCTTGCTAGGATACATTGTGCGACATGCAACTACTGTTGTCTACGCCACTGAATGGAAACTTTAGGTTTTCACCTTTGAATGAAGTATGGGGGAGTCGTCTGTGTTGTCGCTATGGCATGGCGCGACACCACTCGCAGATAGCATGTTGACGTACTCGTATGCAAACAGGACAGGAGAGTGTGAACTGTTTTCAATGGCTGCTGCTGCTGCTGCAGCAGCAGGAAGTAGGGCGTCAGTATTGGGAGGAGCGACAACGAAGCACCTCCATTTCGGATACAATCCTGGTGATCGGAATGAACGAGGTCTCCTTTGAAGTAAATCGAGGTCGCAATACAAATTTCTTTGCGTAATCCAACCACACGGCAGGTATTCTAAACCCAACTTTGAATTGCTAATCACGAAGGATCGAGTGAGTTCAACAATACAAAACCTCGTAAGGGGATAACGGTGGACTTAAGTTCCATAAGGCAAGAGTAAGGACGGATGACAAAGCAGTAGGGTAAAGTGGGAGGAATTTTGAAGTTGCCACCCTGTCTCAACAAACTACTCTCTGGGGAAGCCGTCTTGATCCCGTGTGTGCCTCCGATCAGCAGTCACTCGGTTCGAAGTCACTTCAAGCTGAATTGGTGCATAACGGTGGAGTGATGCATGGCGTGGTGCATAACCGTTTATTGTTGAGATAATGGTATTAAACAGATGTGCCGACATATCAAGGATAGGAAGAGCGTGGGCGAAAAGTTAACACGTCCCAAGAACGTGGTGTTCATTGTGAGGATTTCAAGGCGGTGTGACGATAAAACAAAAAGAGACGAGACATTTCCGTGCTGTTACAAAAAACCAAATCAAATGGGCACACATAAGCAATCAATGGAGTAAAGTCAATCGATGGCAGTATAGATCACAGACGCCAGCAAGCAAAGAGACCTAGTCAGACGTACCTGTGGTCTCAAGCCACACGACACCCTCGACTACAACTTTGGTTCCAGGTTGACAAGGTCCCAAGAGGTCGGGTTCGGTAATCGTTGCGCAGCTGAGAGTGGAAGTGCAAGCATCGGTTTTGGATTGTGATGGAGAAGTCTGTACAAGCAAAATGGGTCGAAACGAAGAGATGAATGAATGTCAGTTGGAAAACCAGGATGCACAATCGCACACATGTACACGAGAAGAAAGAAAAAAGGCATCAGCAGTATGCCGGTACCCTGGCACGCAACCACCACCGGTCACACGTGGGCTAAGGATACTGCGAGGGTCGTCGTGTCCCTATCCAGACTCGAACCCGCACCGTCTGATTACAAAACAAGGTCGTTACCATTAGTCTAGGAGCCGGGATCGTAAAACGGACGCCTTATACCAATCAGCTACCGGCCGACCTGATTAGTATACAATTCCAATTGAAAGAGATATTCTGTCTCATCAAACTGTAAATCTAATCAAAATCAAGAGTCGATGTGTACAAGCGAACAACTACAAAGATATGGCACAAACGGATTGAAGCGTTAGCTGCATCAATACGTAGTGCCGGGAAGCTGCAATTTCCTGAGCCGCTGGATCGGTTGCTAAGAATAGCCATATCATTAGTCCATTCAAGTGGGACGTCATGTGATGCGATTAAAGTTCCCGGAGTGAACAAAACAAGCTTGATAAAAATTATTGTCATAATCTGTTTGCTTACTTAAACCATGGGAGCTTAAGTCTGGTGAGAATGGGAGCAGAGTGCAAACGACGTAAGGCGCATACTAGAAGAGAGCACGCGATCGCGATAAGCGATGACACTTCGAATCATAAAGATCAAAGCTCAAACAAAACAAGGCGAGAGTATCCCGGTGCCCGCCTATTGAAGCACCACATGCGACCCGAAGTGGCCAATGCGACAAAGTCGATAAGGATAGGACTGACTGCATTCGCTGTAGAATGTTACGCGTTCACTTTTGGCAAATCAAGACTGAATCAATGAGGTGTCCTACATGAAACTGCCCTTAGCCGAACCACACTCAAATGATATGTGAAGAACCGCCAAGCATCAAGGGGTGAATGAAATCAGTACGTTTAACGATGCGATCCTTGTCCACACAGATGGACGGCCAGCTGCCTCATGTGGACGTGATATTGGCCACTCGCGGAAACAAAAGGAAATAAGGTAATGTCTAAATATGTTGTTAAATAGTATTACGCATCATAAACACATCTGGTCTTTACCTACAAGTCTACTGTGTAATAAAATCACACTTTAATCAGCGCGAGTAGCCGTTTTTTGTGCCCCAGGCCGTCCCAGTGAGCTTATGTAAGCGACTATTCCTAAATGGGATTGGCGATTAAGTTGAATAGAAATATAGATTGGATAACTTGCGAATGGCATTATTTATCAAAACGTCGCATGACAAATCGCCGAAGACCCCGCAACGATCTGTAGTACTTGTGTGCAGGGGAAGTAGGACGTAAAGATTCAATGGGAACACTTCCGAACAACTATATCGTAGATGGAGCGATCGACTGAGTCGAACGCGATCTTGAAGTCGAAGAACAAGGGTTCCGTTGGCCTGAGATACGTATGACACCGTGAAATGAAAAGGTGGTTAGGTTAACATGAACGGTGATACTACCCTTGTTATAAACTGTCGCTATGTTCGATTCACCCCAGTTAAATGGGATGGTCTCTTCTCCGTATATCTGTTAGAGCAGGTAAGGCAATGCATTACAGAAGACCTTCCCATACCCCGTTAGAAAATCCGGACGTGCAGCGCCAAAGCGATCAAGATCTGAGGTCGCATTTCGAATCTCATTTTCCGAATGAGGTTTTAAACTAACCAGTCATAGTTCATTCTGCAAAAACAGTAAAAAGGTTAAGGAATAATTTGGCGAACTGAACTGCTTAAACACTATGCCCAACGAGCCAAGCTGCGTTCCTTACTATTAGTGAACCGATGCTGTTTACGATTACCCTACTGGAGCATAAGCGTCTGGGACTAGTGGTATAGATGATCAGCACAAGTTTTTGATGCGCCGTGTTGTAAACACTTCACTCAACAAGCTCACATCCCGCTGTCTCCATAAGCGACGGCAGGTTTGAAAATACATACGAGCCCTAGTAATACACGCAGTTACTTTTTGAGCGATATAGCCATAAGAAAAAGTAGAGTTACTCAGATAGGTGAACCGATCAACAACTGTGAGTGGTTGTCCGGTGAATTGGCCCAGCGACGTAACAGCATCTAGCACGTTGGAGGGTCATAGCACATACCGAAACGTGCAACGCTGCGCGTCAACCAGTTCGGCAGCGGCTGGAACCGACCAAAAAAATCTAGCTTGTCCGCATACTCGAGATTCGGTAGTCGCCCGTCCGGCGGAACGACGACTCCTGAAGGTTGTAAGAGACAGGAGAGAGTCAGTAATGATCAGTCCAATCTAAGAGCTAAAGAGGAATAAAGAAGTAGATCAGTCCTGACGCACTCCACTTGTCGTGGTGAACTCGGAGGGGATCGTGGCATAGCTTTTAGAGAGAAGAGAAATCTTGCAGGCACGCTTTTCAGAGCGAAGCATCGCTATAAACAAGTGCGAGCGAGTACAGTTCAAAGGCAATACGGATAAGGCATCCGCAGTACGCCGGCATACCGTACTGACGCTTCGCTGCCACACGAGCACCATCAGTCGAGCGTGAGGTGCGTATAGCACCCCCTAGGAAGAATGCATTCACGGTACATGGTAAGTTTGAGTTGGAAAGGAACATTCTGAGTGACCAAAAGCCGTCCAAAAAGTATCCGACTAGGGCGGCCAGGGGCACGAAAATTGGTCCCTCAGGAAGTTTCAACGATCACTGGTGCTACGCAGGCTATACCCATATCCTAACAAGGGACCAAAAAGTGTCCGCCGGAGTGATTGTTGGAGCTCCCTGAGCGACCAATTTTTGTGCCCCCGGCCGTCCCAATCGGACACTGTTTGGACGACTTATGGTCACTCAATGTTCCTTTCCAAAGCACCCATACTATGTGCCGTGAATGCATTTTCCCTAGTTGCAAATATCATCAACATTAAGCCGAAATCGATTCCTAAATTGTAATTACACTATACTTTAGTCGCTAGGCTAAATTGAAAATGCGTTTGAGTGACCAAAATTAGTCCCAATTGGAACGACTTTCGGTCACCTAGAATGTTTTGCATACGCACCCTTACCATATACCGCAAATGCGTTTTTCTGAATTTAAATGCCGTCAACGTTAAGCAGAAATCGACTTCCAAATTGTAATTATATGATACTACAGCTGTAAAGGTAGACCGAAAATGCCCTCGAGTAACCAAAAGTTGTCCAAAAAGTGTCCAACTGAGACGGCCAGATGAATGAAAATCGGTCACTCATTACGCTCCAATGGTCACGCGCGGACTGATATTACGATTTTCTCAAAAAGTAACGCCGTTTAAGAAAAGAACTGAGGTGTTAAAGATGTACAATACTGCTTAACCATATCTGGACAGATCACGCCATTTACTTTCATATTAACCTTTTGCCTCTACGAGTGAGCAAAAGCACGCCCAAAGGAGGCAACTGGCCGTCCATCTGCGCGGACAAGGATGTTGTTCGCTGAGTGAACGATTTCCATCCAATTTCAGGCCGGTGACGGTCCGAAAGCTACCACGGAAATCGGGGAATAATCGGAGTGAAATCGGATGGCAATCAAACACTTGGTGAACAGACGGGTTTCATCAAAAAGACGTGGAGCAACCATTGTGTGTAAAAGGCAAGGAGTAAAAGGGAACATTCTTATTTCGATGTTTAACGGTCATACTAATCGCCAAATTCGTACTATCAAACCAATAGGACGAAAAGGAGCAAACCAATCACTAAGGAAAAGTAGATCAATAAACAGCGTAAGTTCAAGTTCTAGCAGAAATTAGACTTAGTTTTACAGCCAATTCCGACAAAACTCCGTATGCGTTTAACAGGTAATTAGTGTTGAACAGCTGGGAGAGCTACGTGGCTGGAGTAACACCGAGGGCAGAATCAATACGTAACCTGGACGCTAAAAATGTAAATCACTAGAAGAGGGGTTGACCGGTGGCCGAGTGGTCTGCACACCTGGCTTGCAAACACAAGGTCATCGGTTCGAATCCACGTAGGGGCGGACGTCCTCGCGATATACTCAGCCCACGCGCGACTGGTGGTGGTCGCGCGGCAGCGAAGCGCTGTTACGGCGTACAGTTGACACATTATTTATTATATTAGTATTTATTACCAGAAGAAGGACCACGTTGCCTAGTAGGTACGGGTAGTGAAGGAAGCTGCCCATCCACTCACGTAAGCTCAGTAGTTACCGCAGACCACACGATAAGCAGCACTGGTGCTTTGACACCGTAAAACCACAGACGGATGGCGGAGGAGGCAGGGCACTGGCACCAACCTATGAGACGGGCTGATCACAAAAACGATAAAATTTGTAAGAGTACGGTCAATGTGATGCCAGAGAAAAATAAAATGTCAAGTACAGTTGTGGCACATCAGTTAGAATGAAGAAAGCGTGGGGCGATCACCAATGTTAACTGGGTGGCGTTCAAATTGATGAGCAGTCAGCAAAAGTCGGTTCACTTGGGCAAGTGAGAAACCACCGTCTAGTTGAGTTACTCTGATAGAGAGCCCTTGAATATTCCCGATAGCGGATCCTAGTGGTATCTACTCAAACTCTCCTTTTCATCTTCCCTTTAGACAATGATTAGCCCAGGGTAGAAACGCATTGCTTTCTTCATATTATCAGCAGGCCACTCCGAAGCCTAGCTTAAAAATGCAATCGGCACGATGGCCCAATGTGACACGGGGCTGGTAGATAAAGCATAACTCGGTTAAGGTCGCAGTGCTAGATGTTGACGATGTGGCAAGCTGACAGAGTCCCGCGATGCGAAACTACTGATTTACATGTGGGACGTCTCGATAAAGTCTTCAGGAGTCTATATAAATTGATCTAAAATGTCAAAAACCGCGACACGCGTGTTGCGATGAAACTAACCTCAGCCAATATTGGTGCAAGGCAACTGCCTCAGTGAACCAAATTGTAGTATACAAGTGAGGGACAAGCAAATAGTATCGACCAACA